GCCCTGCGCTCCCCTCGGGGGCGGCCCGGCCGCCCGGCCTTCTGGGGGGGACGCAGGCCCGGGCTGGCTCCTGCGAGCTGGGCGGGCTGTTTGTAGGAGCACACTCCAGCCGTGTGTCACCGGGCTTCTGCCCAGCTCTGCTGCCTGGGCACCAGGCGTGAGGGATAGAGAAATAGGAAAAATGTGAATGTCTTCTGATTCTCGTAGCTAGTAACTAGAAACGAGGAAAAAAGTTAGGTTTTTGGGGGGAAAAAATGGGAGCTGAAGAGTGCATCTGCATGAGCTTAAGATGCTTGTGTCACGCTGCGTGTTGGTATGGTTTCTGTGGTGATTAGTGAGCTTTGAGGACTGTCACAGGGCAGGTGAAAGGAAGGCTAAAAGCATGTCATGTCAGCACTAACATTATTGCAAGTGCACTGTTAAACAAAAACTACAGTTCCACAACTTCTTCAGGCCTGGGGTTCTGCAGTGATTTCAGGCCTGCACCCCACCCTTGTTTGGCTTACTTCGGCAGGAACTGCGCTCACTTTCAGCAGGTTTGGGGTTATAAAACTGCCCTATTCTCAGTGTTGCTAGTGAGGCAATTAAAGCCAGTTGCAGTAAGTTCGGCCTGTTTCCAGTCTCTTTCCTGCTCTGGTGTTACACTGATCTGTAACGACTATGCCATAAAATAGAAATTCTTTGCCCATATTTCCTTGAAAAGTCTCACAGCAGTTAGCTAGTTAGCTACAATCCAGTAGGTGCAGGTTTCTGTCCACTTTTGTTTTGAATTACAGACAAACTAAAATCGAAGGCTAAATGGATGAGAGGCTGATTTCATACTTCATACTAGAGCAACTTCACGTACGTGCCCAACCTCATTTCTACCCTTGGTAGTAATGCAACTGATTGGACAATTTCCATCTTACAATAGCAATCAGCAGTTCATACAAACAATGTAACTGCAATTAACTATAGGCTGGATGAATCAGTTCAGTGCTGCATCAGGCTGCAGGGACCATCCTCTATAGCTGTGGCATCAATGGTGGACCATTTAGTGTCACAAACGTGAGGTGGTAATGCTCTGCAGTGGGAAATGCAGCCTGGCTGGTAACATCAGCTGGCAACATCCCATAGCCAAAATTGTCACCAACAATAAATGGCAGTGGCTGGATAGGACACAGGGATCTTGTTTGTAATGCTGGAAGGTTTTCTGTGGTATTCATATGCCCTGCTATGTCTTGGCTCCGGTGCTTTTGATGCTGTGCTTAGTCATTTACCCTAAAAATAAAGATTATGTCTGTGGTATCTTGCTCCATGTTTTGGTGTTATATGTCAACACACAGACCCCTGTGTACAAACAACACGAGGTTACCTGTGCTGGTACGGGTTTTGTGGTGCTGACCCACACGATGTATCTGTGTCGGCATGCTGAACGTGGGGCTGGCTGGGGGGGTAGCCCATAAAAGTGAAGCGCCTCCCCTCCTAACAAGGAAAGAGCCGTTTCAGCTGTGGTTTGCCCCTAAGCACTTTCTGTACAATCTTCTCGTCTCCTGCTACACTGAGAAATAGTTTCTTCAAATTGCACTGTGAGGCATAGGGCAGTCCCTCCACCACACAGACTTTTATCAGTGCTAACCTTTCCTTACGTTATACCGGTATCTCCTCCAGGACCTGCTGCTATGTAGAGGCCAGTAGTTGCACTGTTAGCTGGCACACCGTTAACCCAGCAGTACTGATGGTTGTAACAAGCCCTTCTCCCTTTGGTTTCTTTCCCACCTCTAGGCACTTTACTGAGCACCCATGTGCCCTTGGCCTGGCTTCTAGGGGCCTACAGCCATCTTTGACCTGACTTTAAGTAATGCCTCTCCAGTTTGGACTTTGAATATTGCCTTACCTTCTCATTAGCAGTTTTCTGCAGGGAATTTAACAGTCTTGGTGTTGGGCCTCATCAAAATGACAGTTAAGCTCCATCCTTAAAAACATCAGGTGTCCAAAAGCAATGGACTTGGAAGAGGAGAGGGGAAACAACCTCATTTTCATTTGAGACCTAGATCAGGTACCTGTCAATGTCAGAGGAAGCTGTTCTGCCTGCAGCCTTTCAATTGGTTTATTTTAAAGCCTAGTTTGTTCTTTCTCCTTGTCCAGAGGCCTGGGGACAGTACTGCACACACCAACCACCATGTCTGGATGCTCTGAGATGCCAGATGCATGACACCTCCCACGATGACAGGGCCTTGGCCAGCATCACTTATCTGTCAAGTCCCATATGAAATAGTAAAACCTACCTTAACAGAAGCATCTTCATATAAAACTTTTATCTATCCTCAAAATACCTCTGTCACTATTAAAAAAAAAAAAATCTCTGTCCTCTGGTGTGTTGTAGTTTATCGGTATATAAATATATAATCCACCTGGGGCCAGGCCTAGAGATGTATCTTTGATGTTACAAAGGCAAAAATTCCTCTTCCTAGGCCTTAGTTATTGCCTGACTGCTCCATAAGCCACACGGGCTGTCTGTCCTCTGTGTTTTAACTCTTGCTTGAGGTCCTCCTGCTCCTCCCTGCTATGAATTAGAGCAATTCTTTTCTTTTTCAAAAGTCCCTGTTCCTCTTCATTCCTGTTTTTCATTCTTCTTGACTCAACACCGTGCCCTGCTCACCAGCACCGTTCCCGAGCTTTCAGCAAGGACAGCCCTGCTGTCCACCACAGGCCCCCTCTGGCCCACCCACTGGCTCTGGGACTCCCAGCTGGTCAGGTCTCACCTGTGCAGGAGGCAGTGGGGGTGGAGACGTTTGCAAAGAGCCCCTCTTTGCCACATCATGCCCAGAGAGCCCCCCCCTCCACCCACCGCTGTATACAAGTGCAGGAATCTCCCTCTGATCCCCATCCATTGGCCCTAGGGTGTGTGTCATCCCCTCCCACAAAGCACGGCCAAGATCCCAAATCTGTGCACAAAATGGTAACATTTATTGAAAGAGTAATTTTTTTTTTAATACAAAAGAAAGCTCTGTACATAGTACTGTGATTACTTCCACATCCTTCCAGAAACACAACCCTGGAAACCGGAGGGAAAAAAAAAATAATCCCACACACACTTACGCATACGCACACGCACACACGCACACACAACCCTCAAACCAGTAAAATGAACTAAAAATGTCACCACACAATAAATGCCATTTCATCCCTGATACACAAGTGTTCTTACAAGTCTGCACTTAAATAAAATACACCATTAGCGTTTAACCAGCAGTTGCCTTTGGGGAGCCAGGACGGGGATGCAGCCAGACGCCCTGCAGCAGCAGGAGCACTCCTGCCCTCCTGGCCCAACAGCTCTGCTCCACAGTGCTAGCACAAGCAAAGCGGAGCAAAGCCAGGCCACAGTGATGTGCTGGGGCAAAGGACAATGCAAACCCCAACGCCATCTCCCTCCCTGGATGGAGAGGAGCATCACCAAGCAGCTTTCGTACACCTAGCAATGGGGCATGGCATGGCACTCCCCACGTGCTCCGAGCTGTGGGGTACGCATCGCTCTCCGAGCAAGGATACTCAACAGAGGCAGCGCACAATGTTACTCACCCCACTCCCCACAAGCCCTTCCCAGGCTGCATGACAGACCGAAGGCTGAAAGACCATTCTGGGAACTCTCTGCACAGCGAGCTTGGAGGGGGCCTGTCCACATCTGTGCACTAAGGAACAGCTGCAGAGGAGGAACTATGGCCCAGATCATCAGCTAGGGGTTCAGGAGATGCCACCTGCACAGTGAGCAGGGATCAGCCACTGCTGGCCACTTGCCACCCAGGGAGGAGTGGGGATGCCTATATCCCTTAGGCAGTCACAGGTAGCACTGCTCCACACCAAGAGCAGTGACAGAACAGCCGCAGATCCCAGACCAGAGGCGAACAGGGTGGCCATCAGAAAACCCAGCCCATCTCTGGCTCCTGGGTACACTGCAAACCCCTTGCTCCTGAGGGATGGGTTTTCCACTTCTACAGACCATCCAGTGCTTCACTTGCCTTCCGCCCGTTAAGCCCAAAATGATGGGTATGGAATCCTCAGTACAGATAAGTGGGAAACAAGCATCCCACTCAGTTCAGCTGGACCCCTGGCACATGCTGGTGGGTGGAGAGCGCAGCTTAAACGCTAATGCTGAGGGAACATGTCCAAGGTTACAATACAAACTCAAAAGCAAGGCCCCTTTCCTGCCTCCATGCCCACCCACCCCTCTCCCATCCCCCTGGTACAAACCCCATGAAAACTGTACAGGAGCCAAACTTTTATTCCTTAAAGAATTACATAAATACTGAGTTTAACACTTAGAAAAATAAAGTAATTTTCTTTTTTTTTTTTTCCTTTTTTTTTTTTTTTTTTTTTTCCAAGGTTTTTTTTTTCTTTAATTTAAAAAAAAAAAAAAAAAAAAAAGAAGTTACAGTAGCTGCTTTTTTCCCTAAGGATTCAGCAGCTTCTCTCACTTGCTCACTCTTCCTCCAGGGACAGGGCTAGGTAGCAGAGCCATTCACAGAAACTCCCATGCAGGACCAAGCATGCTCCAGCCCTTCTGCCCTGGCCTTGCTGAGCCTGCACAGGCATCACAGCCGCTCCTCCACAGCCCAGGATGGCCTGCAGGTCACCCTGGTGCTCAGAGGAAGAGCCTGCCTGCCCAGCAGCTCAGTGCCCCACGGGCTCTTCCCTTTGACACTGGAGTTATTTCTCCACCTTACATCAAGACAGAAGTTTAGAAAGCGGCGCCTGGAGCTGCAGGGGGATGTGAGAGAAACCCGGCCACTTTCCCCTGGGTGTACAGAGTCCGCAAGCAGTGTGAGGGCTGAGAGGAGAGTGTGGGGCTGGGCCGGCCACAGAGCCTCCCAGGAGTTCTCTGGGGCATCGTTGTGCTCCTGGGCATCCACCGACCACCTCTGCTGTGCAACGGCAGCTGCCGGGAAGCCAGGCTGCAAATCCGCCAGGCAGCCCAGCAAGGAGGCACTGAGGGCAGAGGGCTCACTGTAGTGCATAGGAGGAGGACGAGGCCATGTGCCACAGGCTGTGCCCTGCCCTCCAGAAGGAGGGCGCACAGGCCCAACCAGAGATGCACAGCAAGCTGGCCACTCTCCTCTGGCCAGAGCCCAGGGTGAGTTGCTGCAGCCAGGACCCGTCACCCCCACAAAGGCACATTGCTGAGGCCAGCAGCACAGCCTCGGCCCGCTCCACTGCGAGCTGCGCCTGCAGGACGGCTCTGGGTCTGAGCTGACCCCCACGCAGAGCAAACACTCATGGGCAAGGTGACTCAGAGCGCCCAGAAGGAGCCAGAGCCTCCAGCTGGGAATGGCCCGCAGTATTTATTTACAGCGCAGAGCAATCCTCCCATCAAGAGACAAGTTTCTTTGGCTGGCGTGAGACAAGTACGGCTATCGCAGCATCCAAACGCCCCCAAGCCCTGCATGGCCCCAGCACAGCTCCAACCCAGGTGGGTCCTGCAGCCCCACGCGCATGCCTGTGTGTATGTGTGTAGGGGGGTGGGTGCGTGTGTGTGTGTGTGCATGTGTGGATGAAGGAAACGTGAAAAGGCAACAATAAATAACTGGTGCAGTCTGTACGAGAAGGAATTGCCGCCAGCCCCGGCACTGGCACGACAAGCCAGGAACAGCACAAGGCCAGCAGCAGAGGCCTCTCAGTCACTCTTGGCGCTGTGTGAAGTGTCCAAGTTGACCACCTGCAGCTCCGTCAGGCTGCTGCCACTGCTGCTCTGCTGCCCGATGACAGCCATCTAGAGAGAAAAGGGAGGAGGAAGCACTGGGGGACAGTGTGCCCTGAGACCGTGTGTGCCAGCAGCCAGGGTGGCACTGTCCTTCCTGGGCATCTGTCCAAGGAGGGCAAGACTTCCTCACCCAAGGGCAGGTGGCACTGACAGCCTTCCCAGACCTGAGGACTGGCCCTACCCAAGGGCCCAGGCCTTCCCAGACCCACAAAGGATGTACAGGCAGGGGCAGAGCAAGGACACACCCTGAGCACCTGAGAGCACCACTCTGCGCCTACCTGGTGAAGCTGGACAGCTGAGACTGGGATCTGAACAGTGCCTGATGGGGCTGTCAGGAACACTTGAGGGACGCCACCTGCCACAGAGAGAGAGCAGAAATGACACCGTCCCTTAAACAGTGCTCCCCCGTGGGTCCTTTCTCTGAGCTCAGTGGAGTTTCACCAGGTGCCTGTTTGCGTGCAGGGAGGCATCCCAGGAGAAAGCCACATGCCCTAGTCTTTCAAATGCTGGGAGCGGCAGGAACAAGCCCTCAATCCAAGTCTTGCCTGCATGGCTTCATGCTGGTTTGACCCCTCATGCAACCACACGTCCTCTCCAGTCTTCTGACTCCCTCTGCTGCCTGCCCCATACACCACCCATCTCAGCAAGCCTCACCATTTTATCCCAGCAAACGGCTCAAGCAATCCTTTGCATAGGAGAATGGTGAGATCTAAAAGCATGCATCAAGCATCACCCTCGCCAGGCCTTTGCACAGCCGCTAGGACTTCTTACAAGTAAATTCTTTTAAATTAATATGCAGCTTAAATACATACAAGACAAGAAAAATCAGGGTATCAGAGCGCTTAAGGGAGCACTGACCCAGACAGTTGTCTTACCCTGATCCTGGACCTGGCCGTGGGACACCTGCATTGCTGAGGGCGCCTGTGAAAAAGCGTTGAGGACTGCAAGTCCGCCATCCGCAAGGCCAGATGTGGGCGCATACATCACCGCATGTGGGCTGGGGTACATCATGTGGCCACCCACAGTGGTTGGCACAGACGACGTCATGATGGTCGCCGGGAGGGTCACTGGCACCAGGACAAACTATATGTGAGCCACACGGAAGGAGTCTGCTACACACATGCCTGCTCAGCACCCCTCCCTCAGCCACCCTTGGCATGCTGTCCTGAAGCAGCAGGTGCATGGAGATACCCATCTTGTTCTCCCAAGCTCTTGGGGAAAAGCCCCAGGGAACAGGCAGGAGAGCTCAAACCTCTCCATTCATGAGTGAGTATGAGGGCAGAAAAGCATGGTAGCCAAATATCCCAGGACTGAATTCAACTTGAGATACAAGTTTCCCGATGAAGCTTTAATAAAGCTGTTGAACTGGATTCAGCCTCCATCCAGGCACCTGAACTCAGATTTTGCTGACAACAGAGGTGTCCTCTGCATATACAGTAAAAATGTCAGGCAGATGTGAGCCGATATCTTGTGGTACTGCTCTCAGCTAGGGGCAACGCTGGCTCACTAAGAAACCAGCTGAGAACTGGGCAGCCTGTTCCCAGCTCCATGCTGCAAGTAAGAGCAGATGATGTATTTGGAGAGGCTCTGAAATCCCTTGTAACATGCCCTATGCACAGCAGCATCTACCTAGATATAGCATAGCACAGGGGCTGGCAACAGGGATAAATACACCAGAAAGGCTGGGATAGAGTTGGCCTGAAGGATCCTGGGCAGGGAGCAGGCATGAGGTCTAATTGGTGTAGGTTGTTATCAGCAATGGTTAGGAAGGAAGACAGAACATCGTTACCGTAACGTCCCAATTACCTGTTCCGCTGGAAGAGGTCTGGGTAAGATCAGTGCTGCTGTCACTAGAGGGAGACGTTTGCTGTGGTGCCTGGTGCACCTGGATCGCCTGGACTGGGACCTGCTGAGCCATGGTACCACCTGAGGAGAGAGAGAAGACCATGAGCCTGTGGCTCAGCAGGGACACAGGCACTCTGGGACATGTGAAAGCCCCCCAGTCCTTCTCTGGCCACCTACAGCTCCGCAGGATGGCTCTGCACCGCGCTGGGGAAGGCTAGCCAGAAGTGGCACGTGGCAGAAACCAGGCCCTGCCCCAAAGAACGGGTCAAAACCTGGCACACGGGGGCCAAGGAGGGGTTAGCTGTCTTACAGGGCTCCAGAAAGACAAGGAAAGGCCACAGCAGCTTTTGTCCAGCTCCCAGGCATGGTTCAGGAATGTCTGGGGCCCTCCTTGCCATTTCTGGCTCCACCAAGACACAGCACAGATGGTGTGGGGAGGAGAGGATCCAGCACTGCCCATGCTCAGCCAGACCTGCAAGGATCATCTCACTGCGCTGAGCAGAACTGCAAGAGCCCAAATGCCCAGGCCAGCTGGGCCCTGCTGCCTTCACACTCTGAAGCCCAGCTCCATTCTCCACAGGGCACTCAGGGAACAGCTATCTCACCCAGCTTGTGATCTCAAGGACATCACAGCACCCTACACAGGGATTAGAGACCACTAGGCCACAAGGTGTGCATCCCAGAGCTGCAGGGGCATGGCTACACAGCTTCCAGCCCAGCCCACTCGCTGCAGAGCTCTTTAGCTCCAGAGATGGAACTCAGCGCCGAAAGCTCAGGCTCAGGTCCTGTCTCCAGAGGGAAGAGCAAGGAATGCCAGAGAGCAGGTATCACCAGCCACCTTGCTCAGACCAGGCATCTCCCCATGCCCCACATGAGACACACATGTCCAGTCCCCTTGCATGGGATCATGCTGTCTGCTGTGGCAGCCATAAGGGCTCCAAGAAAGCACGCAGGCTATCAGACTCATCGAGTTGGGCACAAATAGGCAGGACACAAGAAATACTGTCTGACTCTCTGGTCCTCAGATGATGGCTGCCCCCACAAAGGAGAACCTAGCCCTGCTCTGAAACTCCAGCCAGAAGCATGTGCAACCCCAGTACATCACCTGAAGAACCTTGACTCAGCACAAGAAATTTCTACGAAGCACAGTGCACACAAGGCAGCACAGCAGCACCACTCCCTCCTCTGCTCTGGGTCTCTCCTAATCTATACTCTGCACTGTGGTTCAGTGACTGACTGCAGATCCAAATACAAAAGCAAGGGCAGCTATGCAGAGCCAAGAGACATCCATTGGGCATTTGAGCCCCTGCAGTCTCCTTCCACCAGTTCTAGCAGCACAGTTCAGCTTCAGCACAGCTGCACCAGGGACCTGTCTCCTCTGCATTTGCTAGCCACAGGGCAAACCCTGGGGGCGGAGACTGACAACCCGCTGCTTCCCTTGGTTTGTATTCCCAAGGATGCTGCTCCTGCCTATGCCAAGCATTCTCTGCCCTGTCTTCCCATCTCTCTCCCACAGCCACAGCCAGGATGTCCTATGCTCTGCCTCCTCTGTGCTCCCACCTCAGTTGGGGGTCAGTTCTCTGGCCAGGACCAGGACCCACACAGACACCTCCATCCCCCCACCTCAAGCAAGCGGAGGAGAAGCGAGTGCTGACCTGTCAGCGACACGATCTGCCCTCCAGCTCTGGCAGGGAAGCGGAAGACTGTCTGTTGTGCCTGCTGCAGCTGTTCAGCCGTACCCGTGACCACCTGGCCCTGCTGGCTGGAAAGAGCCAGGGAGTGCGGCTGTAACTGAGTGAGAGGAATGGTAGGGGTCCCCGGAGAAAGGGAAGCACCTGCCAAAAGGAGGGAGAAAGAAAGGCTTTGTCACCACCAGCTCTTTTAACTCCCTCCAGGCTTCTTGGTGCTGCCCTGGGGTCCCAGCTCAGCTCCCTGCCACCATGCCCTTCCCAGCTAGCAGGGCCAGCTAGCAGCATTCTAAGGAAACAGTGACTGCATGACCCTTCTCCAGCCTCTGGCCTGGCTGGTCTTGAGCAAGGAATCCCAGTCTGGTGCACCCTACAGCAGCAACCACTCTGCTTCCTCCTGCCACTAGGTCTTCTCTCCTCTGGAGAGGGCAGCAATACACTCCAGGTACACAGATGGATGGATGCAGTCCTCAGCCCCTAAAGGCACTGACCTGACATGAGGGTGAAGCCAGTGGGTATCGGCATGAGGCCCCCAGATGTCACTGCACTGGCTCCAGTAGTCTTCAGCACTGTCCCGTTGGCACTGGTGACGGCATTGGGGCTGATGCTGGCAGACACTGGCGCCAGGTAATTAGTGATGGGGAATGATGGGCCACTGCTGACCTGCATGGAGGTCGAGGTGGTGGGGGCTGTCTGGATGGTGGACGTTGTCCCCGGCAGGTTGGTGACAGTGAACGCTGGTTTCAGTGCGTCCTGGGGAAGGAGAGATTGTGACAACTCAGACCAGCCCTTGGATCTGGTCAACATCTGCCCAGACCAAACCAGGCTCTGTAGGTTGCACCCCCATAGCCTGTTACCAGCACATAGAGCAGAGACAGAGTAGCAGAGAGGAGTTGCTCGTACAAACATGAGGAGACTGTGCCCAATAATGCAGCGTGAGGGGAGCTGGAGAGAGCTCAGCATAAACCTTGGATACAAGCCCAGGGCCACACAGGTCCCCTGAGAGACTTCCCTGCAAGACAGCAGGGGATGAAGCAACCCTTCCCCTCCCCAGCAAGCCCCCCTAGCCTCTAAGAAGAGAACAGCCTCTTTTTGGCACACAACTTGCAAAAGCACTCCTTGCAGGGACAGATGTAAAGGCAAACACACTGTCTCCTGTCAGGAACACACACCACTTCCCTTATGGCAGGAAACACATGGCCAAGAACAAGCTGAGAACTGGCTCTTAAAATCAGTTGTACACCAAAAGCAGCAAGGGAGAGGTGAGCAAGGCCAAACCCAGACACCAGGGAGGACCAAACCCAGCCATGACAGCTGCTTTGGCAGGCCCTGGGGAATGCCTCCACAGATCTCCTGGACCAAAGGGGAGAACCTGGCCAGGGGAAGCACCCATTTGCCAGTAAACTAACAGGAGATGGGCACAAGGCAAATGCTTCCAAGGGACCCCACGTGTTAGCTACAGCCAGCACGCACCATGGTGCTGCAAGGAGCATTGGAGCTCTATGCCTGAGGACAGCATTGCCAGGGAAGCTGAGCACCAGGAGGAAAAGGGCCCTGCACTGGGCCAACGCTAGCCTGAGACACTGGCCTCCTGGGTCTGGGAACAAGGGAAGAACGCATATGCCAGGCTACAGGGCACCTAACACCCCAGTTTCCGCAGGCACAAAGCATGTGGCTCGATGCGGCTTGGATCTGCAGGAACCAACCAAGCCCAGCATGATCCCTCCTGCCCCTGGCAGTCACACTTCACCTAACACACCTCCTTCCCCCAAATCCCCTTTTGGATACCCAGGTTCTCCACAGCTCTCTTGCTCTGCTCAGCTGGCCAAGAGCAGACTGCAAATACACGTCACAGAAGACCATGCCACAGGTCCCAAGGGACCTGCTGTCCCCGTGCCCTGCCATGGCTGCCCGCACCGCTGGGGAGATGCCACACTCCCACCCCTCCCGCTGCAGGCTGGTGGGCCCAGCTCTCCCACGTGCTAAGCCTTGTTCCCAGCTTGTCAAGCTGCCAGGAACGAGGAATTCACAGCTCAACGAACAGCTAAAAAAGGGAAGGCAGCCTATTTTGGACAGGGGGAGCCAATCCTGGGCACTCAGCCGTGCCCCAGGGCCTTGGGGAGGGAGGAGAGCAATGCCTCTCTGCCTTGGCACCGCAGCCCCTGAAGTCCGAATTAGAAGAGGCACGTGATACCGGAGCAGAGCCCAGCAGAGGCACTTTCCATTAGCTCAACCACAAACTCCTGCCATCCCACATGGGACATGGAGGCTGTGTGCACCCTCCCCACGTGGGTGACAGGGCAGAACTTCCCCCAGCCCACGAAGCCATGGCAGCCATAGCAGAGCAGGGCGGGGCCTGCTCCCAGCTGAAAAAGCCAGGCTCTCTCATCCCCTGCATAACCCTGAAGCTGTACACCCCTAAGATATAGTCCCCAGGTAGCCAGGGCACTTAGCATCTCCTCACACTCCATACTCTCAGGGCTGGAGGAGGCATCCCAAAAGATTCACAGCACCCAACTCAGGCAGATTCCCAAGACTCCCTAGAAGCACAAGGGCAAACCCCCAGCTGAAAAAGCCAGGCTCTCTCATCCCCTGCATAACCCTGAAGCTGTACACCCCTAAGATATAGTCCCCAGGTAGCCAGGGCACTTAGCATCTCCTCACACTCCATACTCTCAGGGCTGGAGGAGGCATCCCAAAAGATTCACAGCACCCAACTCAGGCAGATTCCCAAGACTCCCTAGAAGCACAAGGGCAAACCTCAGTATGCTCACAACAGCAAAGGTGCTTGGGAGGGGTGCTGGGCCAGTAGGCTCAAACCATGCACAACCCATCTCTGCCCTCCCTACTCTGCCACAGGTGAGACTCAGATTCCTCCCACCTTTACTGTGTTTCTCTTGAGCTGCAGCAATAGCTCCCAGTACAGAAAGACAGCTGGGAGAGACTTAAGAATAGACAGCTGCTGCCTTCTCCCCATGCCTGTCTGGGATGCCATGGAGCCCCTGGGCACCTTGACTCTGCCCAGCACCCTGCAAGCCCAGACTACATGCATGAGGCCAGCCTTCAACAGGAGCCAAGTCATGGGTCACGTTCAGTGGAGATTACCCACAGGGCCGTGGAGAAGCCCTGAGGCAGCACAGCAGCCCCGAAGGCCCTTCCCTTCCTGATCCAGCTGCACATCCATTCCTCACTGTAAACTTGTTTGCAGAGCAGTGCCTGGGGAATCAACATGCAGCAAAGAGGTGCAGCATAGCAGCAGGAGATGTCTGCACAGACCCACATCGTTGTGCATGTTTGATAAATGCTGTACATGCATGAGTGGACCACAGGGCATGACCCAGGCCATCCAATGCCGATCATGGACCACAGCAGTCTTGGGGACAGAAACAATCCCACCCCACAGCTTATGTGTGCTGCCTGGGACAATGCTGTTCATCACGGCCCAGATCCCCCAAGCCAGCATTACTACACAGATGTTGCAGGACAACTGGCCTTGGAGGTACATGGGAAATCCCAATCTGGTCTCCAACACCTGGTCTACCTTCCAGATGGGGCAGAAAGTCCTACCCCCCAAAAAAGATGACCAGATCAGGGCTACTCCCATGCTCTCAGCCCAATCTAGAGCCCCTGAGATCCCTAAAAATCCCCTCTCCCATATGACCACACCCAGGAGATTACATGAGGGCACTGTGTCATTTGGGGCCTGCAGAAGATCAGACAGGTCAGTGCATGACAGCATCATCATGAGAATATAGCTTCTGTGTTGAAAGTACAGCGTGCCTAAGTCCCAACTGCAGTCCGACCTGAGGTTTGTGGCAGGGAGTTTGGGTTTGGCACAGCAGGAGCATCTCACAGCTGCTGCTGGCTGTAGTGCAGAGCAACACCAGTGGGCTGCTGACTGCAGGTACCACCCTGGCTGCATTGCTCCCTGCTCTGCTGCAGCAGCTGAACACAAGCAGACTTTATCCATACAGGCGACCAGAAAGCACAGTTGACAGGAAGGCCAGGGAGCAACTGCCCAACCTTCTCAGAACACCCTATGTGGCTAGATCTGGCAGTACAGGCATTTCTTCTCCTGCCATCTCCTCCAACGAGGCACCTGTGACCCTGCCCTCTGTACCACCCCCCCCTCAGCAAGGATTCCAGCCACCTAGCATGGACCATCCACAGGTTCCCTTCTTCTTTAGAGGGCTTCTTGGTCTATCTGAAGTGGTCTGATCTCTGCCAGAGCACCAAACCAGTTCCAGCCCAGCAGAAGGCACAGCAGGACTGGGGATGGTCAGCGTGGGACTGTCCCCAGCTCCAGGGCTTGCCACAACAAGAAGCCCCAGCAGGCTGGGGGTGGGTTTAGCCAGAACGTCAAGCAGAAGACAGCCACAGGGCCCCTCCAGCCTCACACCACATGCTGGCTGTGGCCGCAAGACACCCCACACCAAGCATTACTTGCTTAGTACTGGGATGGAGTTTGCAGAGTTGCATCAGAAAGTTGGCAGAAAGAAGTTGTTAAGATGATCTCTGCAGAGTAACTGCACCCCAAGAGCGTACTTCCTCTGGGGCCACCTGGCAGTATCTTCAGGGCCATGGTGTGGACAAGACCCATGCCAGGGACAGGTCAGCTGCCACATACAGCACTTCCTGCACCAGGCACGGGTCATTTGTCTCATTACAAAACGGCCACAGGACTTGCCCAAGAGACAAGTCCTTACGAACACAGGCTGCACAAGGGAGAAACTGCTGGTGACAATGGGCTCCTTTGCCTACTGGGAAGGGCTAGCACACCATACACTAGGAATTGGAGACACCCAGGGAAGTCACACCACACAGAGACAGCCAGGACCGTTGCTGGACTCCCATCAGCAGGAGGCCTTCCCAGGGACTCTTCTGGGCTCCAGCACAGAGCTCTCCAGCCAGCAACACCTTGGCCCACCACAGCTCCTCTGCCTGCAGGGATCTCTGGGACTGCTGGTATTTCTCAGGGCTCAGCAGCAATAAGCTTTTGCTTGGTGCAGCACTGCACGCACATGGGGAAGAAGGCATGGAGGAATCGTGGCTACTGGGTACCCAGCAGCACTGCGATCAGAGCCGTTAGGCTGCCACAGGCTAGAGACACGCAGTTGAACACCCCTGCAGCCCCAGACAACATGCTGTGCATGTCTCAGGGCTGCACTCGCTGCCTTTGAGATTACAGCACATCTCAAACATCCTTCTCCACGTTCCCTCTCCTTAATGTTCAGTGGCTACCGTATAGCAAGGATGCTGCTGTGGCTTGCATACAGTTGGCTGGAGGGACCCTAGAGCAAGGTCACAGTTCATCTGGAAGGATGCTTTTGCAGCGAGCCCCATACCCATGCCGCGAGCACAGGTACAGCAGAGCTGCAGCAACTCGCAGCATGCAATGGCACTCCACGCAGGCCCGTGAAGCTGTGGCACAAGCCCCAGTTCAGCACGTCATCCCAGCCTTGCACCACAAACTCCCCTGCCTCCTATCTCCAAGCGCCTGCAGACCTGAGCACCGGCCTGCAAAGGAAAC